TATTTATAACATCGGGACTTCACAGAAAAACGTCTCTCGACCGGGTGAAAACCCTATGTCCCGAGAAAACTCACGAACTCTCTCTTTCTCCTTCTCTTCTCATTCTTCTTCATTTTTTCACCTTTCTTTCATCGTTTTCTTTCATTCTTCTTCTCCTTCTTTATGATTAAACTTGTATTTCGAATTCAACTTTGGAACTTAGAATTGATTGTAAGTATTCCTTTCTCTTATTTGATTCATGAATAATGGTTATTTGAGAGGAATGATTATGATTGTTGAATTTGATATTCGTAGCTAAATCTAATTGCTAGGGATAGAGGATGATTGTTCTTGTTTAACGTGCATTTGTCGGGCTTGATTTGTTCATGCTTATGTGAGTTGAATTGATTAGGATTTGATGAAATTGTGCTTGATAGTTTGATGTAATCGAAGGGTGACACTTCAATCTTGCAGTTGGTAACAATTGGATATTGAGTTGTCGAGTTTGGTTTTGTTGATTCCAACGATTAGTTGGTTAAACACCTTCTAATTAAATTAGCGACTTTTTGAACCTAAAGGGGAGAAGTTGTAGACCTAGGCTTGCATGAGATAGATAATTTCGTAACTGAATAATCTATGGGTTGAGATTGAAATACGTGTTTGTCGATGACCCGTCCCTTGTTACGAAAAGTTATTGGGATTGGGATAATTGGCCTGTATGCTCGAACTTGTTCGTCTATGTTCAATCTCTTGTTACGAAGAGTTATTGGGAGCGAACCGCTAGATGTTTAAACGAGAGTGTCAATCTTGAACCGAACAATTGATTGCCCGGTTTTGCTAAGAACTTAAATAAATTATCCCCGATTCCCTAGCTTCTCCATCTTTGTTTCGTCTTTTTATTTTTAGGTAGATTATTGTTTTTTTCTTTCTTAGTTAATAATTATTCAAAACCCTATTTGATTAGAGTGTTTAGGATTTTATTTTCTTTTTGTGTGAAATCAATACCGAAGGTAAATTCCGAACCGCCTTCCTTGTGAGATCGACCCGGGGAACGAATTCTTCAATTCAGTACTCGGTAAAAATAATAATTTGTGCTACAACAATATATTTTTACAAGACACATATATTATCAAAAGGCAGAGATGGAAGTGAAGCTATACAGACTCGAAATTGACGTCGGCGGCCATCCGAGTCCGTTGAGGTTGTTGAGTTCTTCCACCTTGAGTAGGATCAAAATCGTCTTCATACGGCTGCTCCTTGTTCTCCTCGAACTGTAAACTCTCGTGGATTTCCTCGATAGTGAAAGATTTATTTGGACCATCTCGGGCTCAATGTCATTGGAAAGACTCAGAACGTAGTGGTATATCGTCTGTCTCAACGTCGACAATTGAGGTCTACTCGAAGAAAATTCGCCTACATTTTTACGCTTTTGTGGTGGCCGATTACCGGCACGACCATCACCACAATAACTCGACATCTTATAACTAGAATAGATTTTATAAAATAAAAAAGAGGTGAAAATGATAGAATTAGAAATGAGAGAGTATTATGTAAATAATTTATTAAATGAAAATCGGAAAGAGATTGAATATAGAGAATCGGAAGATCGAGACCGAATTTATTTAGAATCGGACCGATTTATAGCAAACCGAACACAAAAACTAAAAATTAACATTTCAAGAACTTAGAAATCTATATATATATATAATAAGAATTACTATTTACCAAAAATAGTAGCAAAAAAATAGGTCAGAATTTATGCAGTCTATAAATAGTAAGTTTTACTATTTTTTTTTATTTTTTTCTTTAAAAATCATATAGCATTAAATGTTACCTTAATTTTGGGTTTTACTTCATTTTATTATTTAAAAAATTCGACTAAGATTTATTAAGTGTGTATGTTTTTATTATTATTTTTATCAAGCTATTTTATTAAATCTTTTGTGGTTTATTTAGATTTTAATTTATAAACATTTTAATATATATATAATTTAAGTTTAAATAAATTTAAATAAAATTAAATAAAATGTGTTACTTAGATATCTAAATAATTTATAAATTTAAATATTTAAACTAATTGATAAATAATTTATAAATCTCTATTTTATTTAAATATGGAATTTTATTTAAAATAATTTTAAATATAACAAAATTTATTTAGAAAATCGTATCGATCCTACCAATTCAACCGACTGATGTTGACGAATTCGAGAACAAATATATTATTCAAGCGAACTAGACTGGTTATAAACCGGCTCTCGGTTCATCCAGTCGGAATGTGTCCAACCCGGTTTAATTTAAAAACAATGGATAAATCATGATTAATGTTATTTATATATTTAATTTATAATACAATCGTAATATTGTTTCCGTGCATCGCACGGGTCACGCACTAGTTAATCGAGAATAGATTAAGAATGTTGTAAATCGTGTGAAAAATCTGATTTGGGGT